CTCGCCGCAATGCATGCAACACCTCTCTTCACGGACAATGGTCTCAATTATCTGCCATTTACAGTGGCAACCTAGGCGCATTCTGTGGAGAATCACTTCGGTTTGTCTGTTTTTTTAACTCAGAGAGTGCCAGAGGTTCATAGCCCGTTGTTTCTGAATACCATCTGGCCGAGGAGGAGGATCTCGTTGCCTCTCTGTGAAGCTGCAGGAGGAAGGAGTTGGCGACACCAGTACTCTTCTTCCGAAGTAAATTACGGCTAGGTGCAATGATCATGGGACTAGGGGGCATACCCCTGCCAGAGACTGCTAGTCTGTCAGCAAGTTCGTTCCCTCTGATGCCAATATGGCTAGGGACCCAGTTGAGAATGATTCTTCTACCCTGAGCCAGTATTCTTTGGGCTATTGTTAGTATTGTGGTCAGGAGGTAGATATTGTCTTTGGGTGAGCTGAGCTTGAGAGAGTCAATGGCTGCCCTAGAGTCAGTGTGTATGACTACGTGTCCTCCCATTGGGGACGCGTGGGCTAGGGCTCCCATGATCGCAACGGCCTCTGCCTGTAGCGAGGAGGTGTTGTCTGATACCCTCATGGAGCGCATGGCATCCCTTGCTGCGAAGCCGGCGCCTGCAGTGTGGTTGGCTGGATCGACCGATCCATCCAAAAAAACCTCGTCGGCGTGCTTCTTGTCTGGCCTCACGTAGAGTGAGGCCTAGTTTGAATATGAGAACTGCTACATCATATTCGAGCTTGTAGGCAGGGTAACTCCTATAAAATGCATCATGGGAGCCACCACATTTGGTACACGTGCATTGCTAAGTAGAGAAATTTGAACAACCATGACCAGGTTGGGCACAGAGAGGGCAGCGGGCTGTGGAGCGACAGTGTTTGGTTGGGTGGCTATAACGCCAACATATCTGACATTAACGGGAAAGGGGTCGATATGGTCGGATAGGGCAGGACACTACACCGATATAAATTTCATGGGGGAGGTCGTGTCTACGGAAGCTAATCTTGGCCTCTGGGAGGTATAGTGTAGCATTGGGCTGTCACCACACCATAGTCAACAAGGCATTCGAGCAAATTATTCTCACAGTCTGACCAGTCCTAGACGTAGACACAATCAGTCGGGGAGACGGGAATAGTTACGCTACAAGTATTAAGGGAGGAGAGAGGATGGGCAGGAGTAGGTTTGCCAGTGAGGTCAGTCAGGGTAGATAGTGCACGGAACGACTGCGAAAGGAAACTTTGCCTACTTGTTTTTGGAGACAGTGTGCGAAGAGAAGAGTTGGGGCCATAGGGGGAATCACAAAGAAAGAATCGATCCCACTTGGTTGGGCCAAAAGGGGTACTTAAAAAAGGTTTGCAGAAATGGAAGCAGTGGGACGAAGGCGGGAGGAAGATGGGGTAGTATGGAGATAGGTTATACTGTTGGGTGGAGGACGGTAAGAATAAAGAGTAGTAATAAGAGCAGTAGGGCAGACAATGAAGAAGACTGTGGAGTAGGAGAAGGAGTGGAGGATGTTGAGAGAGAAGATGGGATGTATTCTGATGGTTGAGTAATGACTCGAGTGGATGATTCGGAATGAATAGAGTCGACGGTAAACACTGAGCGGGAGGTATTAGTGGACGGAGCCGTTCATGAGTGACACAAAGCCAACCTTTCATCCTTTCAGCACGGCTCTCACATCTTAGGAAGTGGACAGAAGAAGGGGTAAAGTAGAGAAGGAAAAAATAAGGGGGAGAAGAAAAGACCAAGTAGGGGTGATCCCCTACATTCAGCCCCAGTCTCCGTCTGCTACCCCCCCTCCCCCGTGAAACAAGGATTAAGAGGGAAATAATATTGAAGGGAATGTATTGATATCTATCATAATAAAAATTGTAAACGAATTTCTTAAGTAAAATGCACGAACGATCAAGCATTCAAATGCCCTATCATTTATCGGTACACATCGAAAGAGGAACAGGGTAAGCATAATGGTGATCGTTACCACTGCCGGGGGTAACGATAAAAAACGTGTGAGAACCACTAAACAAACTTGCCCCACCCAAGAAAACGTGAAACGATGCCCATACAACTGGTCTACTAATAGGTAGACCAGTTGGTTGATGACTCAAAATCTTTCACACTCTTAGATATCCAAATTCATCCATTTAACTTATACCAGAGCTACTGGTCTGAAGTACATAGCATCAGTCGTTTTGGCTCAATTCAAATCTGGGTCTTCATTGATAGAGAATGACACTAGAGCAAAGGTAGGCTACTGCATGAAAAGATCCCCCATGCCTACAACATGCACAGCAAGATTTTTTTAGGGCACAATAATCATCAGTTTTACAAATCTGTGATAATTGTAGCAATGGCCTAATAAACTGCAATGAATTACTTAGATTGCCGTTTCTGAGAACTATACCCACTACATATTGTAGCACATATAACCCACTCTGTTAATAGAAGCCTTGCTTGAATAAAGAGAAACAACAAAGATACACAGCCAAGAACTGT